GTGTTTAACATTATGTAGGCATATTCTTGGAAACGAGCTGGCAGCAGAAATCACACAACAAAACGAAATGTTATCATTTCATAAGTAAACGAGTAAACAATTTAATAATGCAATTGAAAACAAGGTAATTGATATGACGACTAATAATAAAATTAATGCCGCGATTTCAATATTCATAAGGATTCATTTTTAGATGTCGTCAATACGTCAGTTTTGTACGTTTAAATGCTGAAAATAGTTAGTATTTGTACGTTTAGATGCTGAACATACATCAGTATTGTACGTTTTAGTGCCTGTAAAAATATAAGTAAATGTACGTTTTATAGAACCACATTTTACGTAAAATACATACGAATTATCATGAGATCATGTTGGTGTGTCACAGACAGAGAAACACAAATTGTATTATACAACGTGAGTATAAAAAACTGAATAAGAACAGAAATATCCAGCTGACTGCTGTGTTCTGAAAATGGGTTTCTCTCCTAAGAGACATGATTCTCAATTACTCGTGCCCTCTGCAGGAGCCTGTATTATCCTGTTCTACTGAAAGCATGGAATGCCCAGGAAATGCCTGGCCTCAAGCTGTCTTGTCACTATTTTCCTATCCATCTATTCCAGAGCTCGGTGAAAACCCTGCAGCGCTGCTGATTGGAGGCTCGGATAATATTATAATCACAGCCCTAAATGGATCCCGCCTGCAAACCCTCAAACAACTGGACTCAAATGGAACTCATGGCTTGGATTTCAACCATAAAGAGGAATCAGTATGCTGGGTCACATCCTCAGAGTCCTCCGGACAACTCCGGTGTGCCAGGATGAGGAAAGCAAGTGGCTTCACTAAAGAACAGGAAGTAAAGACAGTCCAGAATCTCCACGGTATGGATCCTGTTAAACAGTTACATTAAAGTTACAATATGGTGAAAGAAAACTGATGCATTGATTCATTTTGATGAGTGATGAGACCAAGTGAGATAACAAAATGTCTGGTTGTGCACAATTCAGAGTTGAATCTGCCTTTGAAATTCAAATTCAGTTCAAACAGGATGCAGAATTTGAATTCCAATTTAATGACATATCAAATGTAATGAAATTCAAATAAATTTAGTGTTTAATTTTTTTTTTTCAGAAATAATCACTCATACATGTGTTAGTTAAAATACACACAACATATGTGTATTTCCAGAAAATAAAGATGGTATTAATAATTATTTTTTTAAATGCTACCTATAGAAATTTTGATTTAAGTTGTAGACTGTATGCATTTCGGTTAAAATACATGGCCTGTGAGGGAGCCCATTCTTAACTTCCAAGTACTGAGTTTCATGTAAAGTACTAATGCGGAAAAAAAATAATAATTCTGAAACAGGGCTTAAAGTTGTTGTTAAAAGTTCAGTACATTTAGTATTTTACTCATGAGACCTGATCTTCTCATATTGAACAAACCATTTAGTGTAACAATGAGTTCTGCTTGACTGCGTAGTGCTTATCAGTGCAGTATGGAAGCTAACAGAGCTTATCATTTATTTACCGCTACATGAAATAGTTTATGCACATTTGTGTAGTTCATCCAACAGTATGTATCCATTAAGTATTCATTAAAAGATCTCAAATTGAAAATGATTTATGACTCTTTTAATAAGTAGCCTATTAGTTTACAGTGTTGAATTGGAGAATAAGTGCATGCTCTCATTTCGGTATATTGATCCAAACAATAGCCTCTAAACCAAGAATTTCTTTATGACTTAAAGCAAAGCATTTCAGTTATAGCATATTTCATGTCTGGTGCAGTGCATTAAGAGCCTCTAATGGACCCCAAGTTTATGATCTTGAAAAAGTAAATAAATTATACTAATATGACTTAGTTTATGGGGCACTTTTTGTTTGGTTCAATGTTAGGCGTTTTTCTTATTAGTTAAAAAGGTTCACTGTTTGTTTTACTTATTTCTTCTAGTTTGTTTATCATGCTCGTTAATGCATTTAATCAATAAAATCACATAATTTTTATATTCCATCTAAATTAATATTCTATATAATATATTGAACAACATTGAACAATAAAATATGCATTGAAAAAGGAAAAGTAGCAATTGTAATATGTAGATTAGGAATTTATTTTCATGAATAAGGTCTTTCATGAATATGATTGATTGATTAACACTTCATGGCGAGAATTCTCTATGACTTGTCATGAACATATGCCAATTAATGATCACACCAATATATCATCTTGTTTTGTGTAAATTGACCATGTTTTCCTTTGTTCCAGACGTTGATCAATTAGCCTTTGACTGGCTCACAGGAAACTTTTACTTCGTGGATCAAGCAAGCGACAGAATATTTGTTTGCAACCAGTATGGAGACACCTGCGTTACAGTGATAGACCTCGACCTGTTGAACCCTAAAGCAATCGCTCTGGATCCTCTAATGGGGTGAGTTGAAAATGCATGATGTGAGATTTCATCTTTGACAAGGCCTGTGATGATTTAAATCCTCTCACATATATTGCAATATTTTAGGCAAATACTTCTCCGACTGTGTCTTACCTGTACTTTTCCCAGAGCTAAATATTTACTCTTCTTTTCAACACTGTCTGGTTGCATGATTGTTCTACAAATCCCACAGTCAGGAGTGTCATTAGCATTCCATGATTTATCCAGCATCCCACAGTCTTGAACGCCCTTGCAGAAATCTGCTTAACATGAGTTTTGTTTTGCTTTGACACCACAAAGCCACAGCTGAAACAAGGTGGTGGTGGGTCCCTCATGTCAGCATGGTGACTGTGGAAATGTTTCGAGAGAGATGAGTAAAAGAACACAAAGAGTCCTCAAAGGAGAGAAGGGCAGCATGATTATACTAGTTATTAGCTGCTAAAAGGAGTGCCATGGTAATATTCCCAGCGAGTTTAGAATAGGAATTCAGGAGATAGATTGTCCCATTTATTCATGAGAGTGCAAGGACAGGCTGAGCACTCCGTTCCGGGTTTTTTAATGAGACGCCTTGTGCCCAGTGAACCTAAATTGTAGCACTGGTGTTCAGCACACTAAAGACTGCAAGGAGAGCCCAGGCCATCAATTTCACCTCCATTCTTCGGTGTGTGGTTGTCATCCTTTTGTTTTTGTGCTGTGACTCTGACAAAAACGAAATCCTGACTACCCTGAATGAAGGCGTGCTTAAAAAGAAATGACAGCCGTTTATCTCTTTGAGTCTAAATGCTGTGTTCTTTCTCCTGTGATCATCAACAACCTCAGAGATTGTTCAAAAACTTTCAAGAGATTTTGAATGGAATGCACAGAGGGCTGAATTCTCCAGTTGCATCACTTTAGTTTTTGCCATTTTAGTGCTAAAGTTTTATTGCTCACTGTAAAAGGCTGAGATGGTCCATTCATACACATGAATGATGCAAATTGTAACACTAAATATGGCAGCTGTCTTTTTGCTTTAAGGCTAAAAGTGCCAAAAATCTTTTTCATAAAGGAATCTCGATGCTCAATATGATGTCTGTAGGAAACTGAGGAAAAAAAAAAACAGTTGCCAGTTTGTTCACCCTAAACCAAATTTTTAAGTGTAAACCAGCTTTTGGTGTGTTACATGATTTACATATTGCTTCAGGTGAAACAAGTTAAATCACTAATTCAAGGATACTTTATATTCTAAAAGTGTAAATTAAATTAAATTTATCCAAAGCGACATGCAGTGCATTCAGGCTATACATTTTTTTACCAGTATGTGTGTTCCCTGGGAATTGAACCCACGACCTTTTGCGTTGCTAACACAATGCACTACCACTGAGCCACAGGAACATAAAATACACAACATAAGGAACATAAATAAAAGCATTGATTAATAAATGTGTGCATATATATATATATATATATATGTGTGTGTGTGTGTAAAATTATACATTATACATATGTACAATTATACGTATATGTGCATATAAATTCAGTAATATTAAAAATATATTTTGTTTGAATATTGAATTTTTTGACATTTAAGATATCTTTGAATTAGTTTATAAATTTAATGCATACACGTATATAAATATATATCAATGTGTTTTATGTACTAAAGAATATTATAAATGCATTATGTGCAAAGAAAAAAATGTATATAAAATTCGAAAGCAAAAGTTGTACAAAATGTACAAATAAAGTGAAAGCAAACACTTCAGTCTTTTTGGCCAATGAAACGCTTGGCTAGATACAGAATTGCTTTGTTTTTCTAGCTTTCAACTCTGCAAAGCTCTCGGTGTGCAGTACATATGCTGTAGGATATGGCTTTAGAAAACACATGCTTCTGGCTTTCAGCTTTTCTCTTGGGCTCCCATATGTTTTGAAAGATCCCCTTATTCACCTCACAGGGCCGAACCTAAGCAGAAAATCCGGTTTAGGAAAAATCTTGAAGTTGGACCTTTTTACCCTTATCAAACAAGCTCAACACTGTTCCTCCTCCATACACTGTGAACGTGCCTTTTTGTGTCCTTTTATGGTCCATGATGAGCATGTAATTGTACCAACTTAAACGCTTATTTTTTTTTTTTAACACAGTGTTGGTGCGTTTACATGAACATAGCCCATGGGAATGGCTCTCTCACATTTGTACATGACCTTCAGTGCATCCAGCCAGTTTCCTCCCGGGAATGTGGGAGAGGAGTGCAGTGGTTAAACCTCCAGGCTTCAGCAAAGTGCAGTTTACTACATTACATAGCCGTTCTGTTTTTCTGGTCCTCCTCCTGTAATTGGCGAGATGAGGTTGGAGCTGCTTGTGTGTGAGGGAGGCTGAGGGAACGCAGGAGGTCTGTCAGCCCGGAGCGCTTGAGTGAAAACAAAAGAAATTGGGGTAGTTTGTGATAGTGGCTCAGCATGAGGCGTAGTAGTTATGGAAAGAGTTCACAACACGTTAAGTGTTTCGTTTGTGGTTCTGATATATTTTTTTGTCCAATTTCTTGCCTGCTTTCCTGAAGGAGCCTCCGTCCTCTTGTACGCTTTTGGAGAGGCGTTATGTAAAATTTAGCTTTCTAATTTGAAACAAAATCCCAGAGAGGGAATAAGACTGAACTTGCTTTAACCTCGCTTTTCAAAGTCTAACTTAAAATCCCCAAATCAATTTGAAAAAGCAGGGTGAGAGAATTTTTTTTTTTAGTGAAGAGAGAGTGTGAAACTTGAATTTGATTTAGAGCAAAATGAAAACAGAGCTGTGCGCAAATCTTTATACATCCGCTATCCCCCTCTTGTTTGGTAATCTGTCTTGGTGAAAGAAAGGGGAGGCATTTTCTGTTCAGTATTCTCTACATTAATGAAATTCCCCAGCGGTTCGGGTTTGGGTTGGACCATTGTGTCACTATGCAGTGATTAATTAAAGTCAGGGTCGAAAGGTCTAAAGCAGCAGATGAGATGTATGACTGGGTCAGATTGGTTCCCATTGTGTTTTGTGGTTTGTCTGGGCTTATTGAGTTTGTTATCTAACCACCAAACAAATAAATAAAGTATTGTTTATTTATCATTCTGTGGTTATTGTTATGTGGTATGAGAACATTCACTGCAAGAATCTCTTCTGCATCCATGTCTCATCTGTTTGTATTATTAGAATCAGATGTATAAAGAATATACAGTGAACAATGGTGGAAAATGTTTGTTTGCCTCAAACACACAAACACAGTGCAAGAGCGCAAGAGCAATACAGCATATAAACAAGTTATGGATTTATTTTTAATTCATTTTGCTTTATTGCCTTCATTGTCTTCTCATTAACTTGTTCTGTTTGTTGGTGTGTTTGGCTTGTGGGATATATTTCAGACCTGTTGAATGTCGCTGATAATAATTATGAAATATAAATTATTATTATTTGAATAATTCCAATTCTAGATTCTGATTAAATAAGGATTCTATAAATGTAGCAAGTTGCTGCATTGCTTGGCAACAATGTCTACAGTCAGCCTAATGAACTGTATTACTTGGAGGGAGAATATTTTGTTCTGACTGTTAATAAAAGGAGCTATTTATAACAGCAATAACTGCATAAATGATGACACAAGACCGTTCTCTCCTTATTAATTTGCTGAATTTTGCCATACAAACACTGAAAATGATTATTAAATATCTGCATTTATAAAGAAAATTCTTAATCTACCAATAGCATTAAATAATGTATAAATATATATATATATATATATATATATATATATACAAGTTAATATGTTAAATGTATTCTGTGCAGATTAAACTGTTTTATCATAGTCAGACCGACCCAACCATCCCACAGATTAAATGTGGATGAGTGAATAAGATCATGGATTGCTGTATGATAGCTTTTCTTCCATATAATAGGAGAAAGACACTGAACTTGCAGATACCTTATCAGCTTTATCCTTCTGTTTGTCATTTATTTTGGTGTTAAAAATCACATTGAGCAGTACGTGAATCTAATATGTGGCAGTGGCTTGCTCAGTAAGAGATGGATTCTCTTCTTTATACTGACCTAAACAAGTTAAAAGGGCCATAATATAATATAATGCAATTTAATATAATATAATAAAAAAATAATATAATATAATATAATATATGATATGATATGATATATGATATGATATGATATGATATGATATGATCATTTATTTAAATGTATAATTTAGCATATTATTACAATTTAAAATTTTCTATTTTAATGTGTTTCCAAATGTACTGTATTTGGTAACGCTTCAGTTTAGGGACCAGTTCTCACTATTAACTATTTGCCTATTAGCATGCATATTACTAGGATATTGGCTGTTTATTAGCATGTACAAAACACATATTAATGCCTTATTCTACATGACCATATCCCTTAACCCTACCCCATATCTACAGGTGCATCTCAATAAATTAGAATGTCGTGGAAAAGTTCATTTATTTCAGTAATTCAACTCAAATTGTGAAACTCGTGTATTAAATAAATTCAATGCACACAGACTGAAGTAGTTTAAGTCTTTGGTGTGAGCCAAAATCATCACAATTAAAAGAACCAAAGACTTAAACTACTTCAGTCTGTGTGCAGTGAATTTATTTAATACACGAGTTTCACAATTTGAGTTGAATTACTGAAATAAATGAACTTTTCCACGACATTCTAATTTATTGAGATGCACCTGTAAATGTAACCATTACCTTACTAACTAATAAGCAGCAAATTGGGAGTTTATTGAGGTAAAAGTTGTAGTTAATAGTTAATTACTTCGTTTGGAATTGGTCCCCAAAATGTGACCATTTATTCCTGTAATGGTAGACAAATTTTCAGCATCATTACTCCAGTGTTCAGTCACATGATTCTTCAGAAATCACTCTAATATGCTGATATCTCATCTTTTTCTTTCATCTTTTGTAACATTATAAATACCTTTGATGCATCCTTGCTGAATAAGAGTAATAATTTCTTAACGAACACCAAACTTTTGAGCGGTATTGTATATTATATTATATTATTTATTTATTATTATTATTATTATTATTATCATTATTATTATTATTATTATTATTAGTAGTAGTAGTAGTAGTAGTATTATATAATGTATTTATTCATTACTTTTAAGCGGCTTGTTAATTGAGTGTTGCATTTTTAAGATGGTATGTCAAGTTAAAAACATTGGAGCTTGCCAAATTGAAAATGTGCTTTCCAGTTTTTTGTTCAATATGCATCAGATGGTCAGTGAACAGACTTTGGGCAGTCTGAGGATGTGGCTGAGAGTATGTCTATCTGATTTTTAATCATGTTTGAACGGCTTTTAACATAATGCTGTTTGTGTTTTGTTTTTTGTTTTCCTTCTGGTATGAATTGTTCTTTTCTTTATAGAACAATGTAGTATCAGTTTCTGTATTGAGAGCTGAACTGTTCCAAATGTGAAGGAAAAAAATCTGGCTGAGGAACACAGAGCAAGCAAAACACACCACAGTGCACTGGAACTTTGTACGTTTTACAGGATCCAATTAGTTTTTATTGTTGGCAGACAGGAAAGGCATCACTGATACAAGGTTCAATTATTTCTAGCATTCAGAAAACAAAAGATTTGAAGAGGGTCAAAAAGCAGAAGCCTTAGAGAGACATGTTTTTTTACATCTTTTGCTAATATTCTAATCAGCTAAAAGTCTGACTTTGAAACATTTAATGAGTTCTGCGACTTCAGTCCCCAAGGGACACATAAATGACTTACAAGAAAAGGTTGATACTGCGCTGCAAAGAATTCTGGATAACAACAGACTACGAGATGGATCTGCCATGATAAAAAGCTCCTTACGGTGAAGTTTTTAAATTTCCTTTATGTTTTATGTTTGCTTCTCTGGAGCAATTAAGCACTTGGGGACCACTGGCTGTGTGTGAACTCTTTCCTTGTTAGATTCCTAATTAAATTATGTGTTTGCAGTATCAGCCACTATAGGTATCTGATGTTGTTAGAGCTTGAACACTCAGTCTAGCACACTTTGCATTCACTGGTAGACTTTTTGTAGCTTGGTCATCTACCTTAATAATTAATTTGCATACACAAAGGGAAAAAAAGGAACCTTTTTGGAGCAGGGCTACTGTAATTGAAACACTTCAAAGGAGGATGGTGTCATTTGATAAATGCATGTATGCATGTCACTAATGGGGTCTTGCTTTAATTGGCAACATGTCATTTTTTTTTACAGGAACAGCCACAGTAATGTGTACTTTTAAGGGAATAGGAGACAGTGTTTCATTATTTACTCAGCCTCATGTTGTTTTGAACCTGTATAGCATACACAATGTTTCCTTGGTCAATTCTAGCTGTTGATGTATGGAAATGATGTGAAGAATGACATGAAGATGAGTAAATAAGGATAGAAGTTTCATTTTTGGTTGACCTCAATATGTTTTTAATTAAAAAAAATGCACTTTCTTTCCCGATCACTTGCAGGATGCTCTTCTTCACTGACTATGGGAATCAAGCCAAACTGGAGCGCTGCAACATGGATGGCACCAACAGAACCCGACTTGTGGATTATAAGGTTGAGTGGCCGACTGCATTGGCATTGGATTTGGTAAAAAAACTGGTGTACTGGGCAGACGCATATCTGGATTACATTGAAATGGTGGATTACAATGGCAAAAACAGATACACTATCATCCAGGGATATCAAGTGAGTTCTTTTTTATTTATTTATTCTTTTTTTTTTTACAGCCTAATACACTACCGTTCAAAACATTGGGGTCAAAGACTTTTTTTAATGTTTTTAAAAGAAGTCTCTTATGCTCACCAAGGCTGTATATCAAGAGTATAATAAAAACAGCCATTACTCCAGTCTTCAGTGTCACATGATCCTTCAGAAATCATTCTAATATAAGCATATTAAAATTATTTATGAATGATCATGTAAAGCAGGATTATTCAATGAATGAAAAGTTCAAAAGAAAAAGCATGTATTTGAAATAGAAATCTTTTGTAACATTATAAATGTATTTTCTGTCACATTTGACCAATTTAATGATTTTTTTTGCTGAAAAAAAAAAATATTAAGTTCTTAATGACCCCCAAACTTGAATGGTAGAGTATGTGGGTGGAATAAAAAAATGTAGTAGCTAAGCAGCAGATTAGCATGAAAGACAGATCTTTTATCCTAGTCTAAAGGTGCAGTCACATTTACTGTTGCTTGGCAAAATTTTGTGCAGGAAAACCCAGTCATTTCAATTTGAATCCGTGTGACTGTGAGTTTTGCATGAGGTTGAAAAAGTTTCTCAGGTTTCCCAGTTCCCTGCTTGGTTTGGAAGTGACCTGTGTGTGAACTGCATCACTACGCTATTTACAATGAACTATGGACCTTTTTTGTCTGTGAAATCTCGAAATTTTACTAATTTGACCACCCTTTAATAATCTAAAAATAGATGTCGTTTAATTAGCTGAGCTGAATAGTAAAATTAGACACAGACAGTTACTTGCGATACACATACTCAACAATGGTGATGTGAAGGGAAGAAGGGGTTGTTTGTCTGTCTGATGCAAGACTCTAATCATCCCTGATGGGGGAAGATAGAAACCAATACAGTTGTACACAGATTGATTTCAAGTATTAATTGGTTATGGCATTTATACCCAGCAGCAACTGTAGCAAGTGTGTGGCTTCATCTGCGTTTTAATTTCTCAAGCTAGTTCTTGCATTAATTATTCTAAATGAACACACGGGAAACAGAAACAGATTCACCATTTGAATATTTTACCTGAAGTGCACTTAAGAGGACAGTAATTATGGATCATTATTATTCAAAAGTAGACCTCAGCTAAGCAACCCAAAGATCTTCTTGTTGTTGAAAAGTGTAGAAGGCCAGAGCAACGGATGACTGTATGCAGGCATGTGCGGGTGTGCTTGGTTTAATGGCGCTCTTGAATGCGAGCCGCACCGTATTGGTGAGAGGTTGCTAACACATTTAATTTCCATCGCATATTAAGGTGAGGTTCTGCCAGGCCTGGAAACTGTATCTTCCCTTTTTTGACTTCAATGTTTCAAACGGGTTCCTTATTGTGTGATGACACCTTCTCTAATTAGGCACCCTTCCAAGTGAACTTTTAAATTTTTATTTAAAGCATGGTTTGCTCTTAAATCACTTACTGCACTCAACTAAATTCTGTAATATACTGTACATTCCACTGTAAACTATTATATTTGCTATACAGTGGGCCCCAGAGTGTTAGGACACTTAAGCTGCTCTTAAAAATTCATGAGTGTCATTCCATTAGATAACACAGTATCAAACCAAGCACTATTTATTTTAGCTCTAGCAAACTTTCAAGCAAAACGTTGCAGGAAAAAAAAGTATTTTAACATATTCCTCCTCTGAGTTAAAAAAAAAAATCATTGTGACTTTTTCTTGATTGAGATTTTATTTTTAATGGCACTTTTATATTTCACAACTGTGACTATTATACACACAAAACCATTCACAAGTTTGGAGTCTGTAAAATTGATTGGTTTTGAAAGAATGTAATAGTTTTATTTAGCAAAGACTCATCCAGTTGGTATTTCTTTTAAATAAATGCAACCTTTACATCATGGTTTCCATACAAAAATTAAAGAACAGATTTTTTTTCAACATTGATAATAATAAGAATTGTTTCTTGAGCACCAATCATCATTTCAGAATGATTTCTGAAGGATCATGTACCACTGAAGACTGGGGTAATGGCTGCTGAAAATTCAGCATTACTATCACAAGAAAAAATTATATCTTAAAGTATATTCTAATAGAAAAAGGTTTGTTTAAATTGTAATAATATTTTATAATATTACTGTTTTTAATGTGTTTGTGATCAAATCAGCCTTGGTAAGCTTAAGATACTTCTTTTCAAAAACTGCACTGACCTCAAAGAGGTTCAGAGGTGGAAACTGGCTTTCATATAGTATCATTATGAAATGTTCAGGAAATGTTCATTATTAATATGATGGACCCCTGGTGTGAACTCACTTTATACATCCACTAAAACTGATCTAAAGACCAGTTGATTAAAAGTAATTGCTAGAATGGCAAAATTGTAATTTAAATTGTTCATTAAGTGTCCAAATATTTTTTGGGGACACTGGAATATCCACTCTTGCCCTGGAGAAATGGCTGAGTATATGATTACATATTTAAACGAGAATATGAGCCACACTATTTTGCCACTATTTCTTACCTCTTGCAGTAAGGGAAAAAGAGGGTTGTCTCCCTGTGGGTTTAGGTGAAGCACAATGCACATTTTAACTTGTGTGTATTTGTGGGCGGGGTTCAGCGCTCCCAGTCTGCTCCTGTCACATGTTGCTTGCAGAGATAACATGTAGGCTAGAATCACTGCACAGAACCAAGGTGTCCCCAGAGAAACGCATGCACTCTGGCTGACCCTGCCGAACTTCCTGAACTGCCTGAATGCATATCAACACAATTCAGTTACCTTCAGCCTGTCTGCAAATCTGCACCCCTTATTCAGACTGTGGGCTGTTGCCAGGTCAAATTAAACCTAATAACAGCTTTAGCTAATGGCTAATTTGATTTTGAATCAAAGGGGAAATACCTTTGAGCTTACAATGTGATATTTACCTAGCTAAGTAACTTCTGAGCGTTCTAATCAACCTGAAGTCGTCAATGCTCCTTTTTCTAGGTGGCCCACCTGCATGGATTAGCTGTCTTTGAGGACTACTTGTACGCAACTCGTTCTGAACCCTCCAGTGGAGCAGTGGTAGACATTTTACGGATAAATCGCTTTAATGTCACAGACCCGGAGACGCTAACCAGCATAGGAAATGCAAAAACAATAAGGGTTTACCACAAGCTCAGTCAACCAAAAGGTAAAGTATGTGTTAGGTTGGTTTGAATTGTTTGTTTTGTCTAGGCATCTGGGGGTTTTGTTTCTGCATCATACACAGAACTTTTTAGTTTTTGTTTCAGGTTTTGTAATATATATTTTAATACAAAAATACATTCTTCAAGATTATATGTATATACGGATATGCTAACTGCAAATGTGACACCAGTGTCCTCTCTTCAGTCAAGGGCCATGCGTGTGAAGCTGACCCTTATGGTAAACCAGGAGGATGCTCGCACATCTGCCTTCTCAGCGGGAGCTACAAATCCCGGAGCTGCCGCTGTCGTACCGGATTCAGCCTGGGAAGTGATGGGCTGTCCTGCAAAAGTCAGTCCACCATAGTTCACATTCTTTCTTTTGTGCACTATAGCTGTTCAAATGTGTTGTTGTGAAAATAATAATAATAATTAATTATTATTATAATAATAACTAAGGCTGTCAGTTTAACATTTAACCCTGTAAAGGCTGGATTATAAAATAATAGCCTGCAAAATCTATTGGTTTATTTAACCTTTATTGAAAGGCAAAACCTAAAAAAGGGTTTATGATCATAGCTCTGTAGTTTTTATTGTAAGTGTTCATTTTGAAATCTTACTAACAATATAATATTTATTCTTACGTGAACTTCATAAAAATCAGTAAAGATTTCACAGCAAAAATACGTTAACCACGACCTGAAGGTGAACATATTTAGAATGATACTAAAAGGCCTTTTACTTGCTAAAAAATATAATCCATCAATCAGACGATAGAAGGCATGTAGTAGATTGTGTACAACAGGATTTTCAGCAAAGTTTTGATCATGCTGATAATTTAGAGGCCTTAGAAATGTGTGTAACAAATATGATACAGTTGTCTTTACAGGATTAATGCAATCAGTTATTTAAAAAAAAGTAACAGTAAAAATATAATGCAGTTGCATAAATTCTGTAATTCCCTATTATTTAATTATTTTCTCTTTTTTTTTAATCTATTGCGAGCCCTAATGAATATATATTTCTTGTCTGCCACCAGAGTGTTAAAAAAAAAAAATGCACCCAATGATTTTATGACACTTAATGTCACGTCATCCCTGCATAAATGGTGATGGAATATGTGTTTGTTTTATTCGATTCTTGTCAGCTATCCAGAGCTGGAAATTGAAGTGTCGTTACACTATTAAGTGGGAAGATTTAGCGGTTCAGCATTTGCACCAGTCTTGGCACTAACTCGGATTGACAGAGATGGAGATGAACTTTTAAGGAGATTGGCCCACGTGGTTGTGATGTTATTTTATTTTATTGACTGCCTATAGAATGATTCATTACTGCCATTTCCACTCTGTTCCCAATACGCAGATTCTCCTGATCAATGGACGTTTCACTTAGTTGACAATGAAAGCTACGGGTCAATTAATGACGATCCTGAGTTAAGCATGAATTGACTGCAATAATGAACCAAGTTCTGCATCTTGAGACGTTTCTGATTTATACCGCCAGCCAGATGTTCCACTTCCTGTCTCTTTCCATCAGATGAGAAGCTATGTTAAATGACTGTGGCTGCCTTCATCCAATAGCCCCTGTGTTGTTTGATATATAGGTCTCAAACCGCTTAATTGTCTTCAAGGTAGCAGAGCTCTTCCACTCAAAATGATAAACTGAAGTGATATTTGTGTGGTCTCACCCACACTGGTGTGGTCCCATGAGGACGGAGGTGGATGTTGAGGTGAGGTCCCTCTTTTTACCCAGAATCCTCCTCCTTTGCCATTGGCCTGCCGCATAACAGACAGACCGGGCCGCCCTTTGTGTAATCCCCACTGTGACTAGAGATTAATTTATTTGAGCTTGTTGCAAGCCCATGGATAACCTCAGCTTCTGTTGTGTGTTCTGTGTTAATCTGACAACAGGAGATTTACTGTTTATAAACAGAATCTCAATGAACAAAAATATCATTGCTGGAGCTTGTCAAATGAATCCTCTCAATCAAGATAATTTTTGCCTGGGGATGCTAAGTGGGGCTGATTGCACCATTAATTTCTGTAACTTAACACATCTGCCTCTGCCAGTTTGGGCTTTGTAGTTCTTCACATAACTGATTTGGGATCAAACAAAAAAAATTATACACTACTGGTGTCACGATGTGGGTATATGAGGCACACAGCGAAGGGGTAATCCAAAAGGTGAGTCTTTAATATCAATCCAAGAGTGTAATACAGAATCACAGAGGAGATAAGCACCACAACGTAACTTCAAAGCAAGACAAAGGAACTGAGGAAAACACAGGGTATATAAACACATGGAACGTGATTAGGCAAAACTGAAACAGGCGGAGAACTCAATCAAAACAGGTGAACAGAATAAACGATGATTAACTAAGCGAGAACAGGAACTGAACCAAATAGGGGCAAACAGGAACTTAACAGAGACAACTGGTCAAACGTTTGGAATAATTATACTGTATATATAGTTTACATTTTTGAAGGAAGTCTCTTATGCTCTTCAAGGGTACATTTCTTTGATAAAGAAACAGTAATATTGTGAAATATTATTACAATTTAGAATAACTATTTTCTGTTGTAATATATTATAAAATGTAATTTATTCCTGTGATGGCAACGTTGAATTTTCTGCAACCATTACTACAGGCTTTATTGTCACATGATCCTTCAGAAATCATTCTATGTTGATCTGGCACTCAGTAAACATTTCATATTATTATCAATGTTGAAACCAAGATACTGTACTATTCAAAAGTTTGGGGTAAGTTTTTTTTTTTTAAAGGGGTCATATGATGCGATTTAAAGTTTTCCTTTCTCTTTGGAGTGTTACAAGCTCTTGGTGCATAAAGAAGGTCTGCAAAGTTGCAAAGACTAAAGTCTCAAATCCAAAGAGATAGTAGGTGCATTCGACTTCATGCAGCACTGCGCAGATCGATCGCAATCTGACTTGAAGCAGTGCATGCTGGTTAGTAATTTTGTTCGACTTGAGACGGCGCCGACGCCACGTCACTGTCACGTGTGGCATCAAAGCACCGCAATAGCGTTTCGAGAGCAGCCGGCTGACTCAGCCGCCGCAGTTTCTCCAGAGCGTTCTGACGACACAGCCATTTCACGATTGGCCAGATTCACCGCATGACAACTATCATGTGTGTTTCGGGTTTATTCTAACCTTTTAAATTCCAATAATAGCCACAAATGTGAGTTTTTAGAACAGTAAACTGTAAAAACTACAGTTTTTACTGTAGTCGCAATGTTATATTGAGTCACGTTTATCATAAAACACTGATGAAAGCATATATTCCCCCACGTTATTAGTATTTAAATAGTATATATTTACATTGAACTTTATTCTTGAACAGATGGCGATGTATTAAGC